GCGGCCCGGCCCTGCTGCGGGCACTCGGCACCATGAACGCCCTGGCCGCGGTCGCGAGGCCCGCCGACGACGCCCCGGACGGCCCTGCGGACGGTGGCGCGAACAGGGCCCGGACCAGGAAGAACTTCAAGAAGACGCCGGTGCCGCCCGGGGCCCCGCAGGGTGGCGGGGATTGAGGGCAGCCCCCCGAGGGTTGCCGGGACGGGTGCTGGAAGCGCCCTCGGGCAATGTATTTGTATGGACAGATCCAACACCCCCGTGGATGGAGAAGGGGCCTCAGACACCGCCTACTAGCGTTCCGGCTTTGGGTTTGGACGTCGGGACGCGCACAGGCTGGGGACTCCTGGGGATCACGTCTGGGGAGTGCAGATGGCTAAGCGCAGCGGGGGATCCAGGCTGGAGACTGAGTCTGGGCAGGAGGAGGGGTGGAGCCCCTTTTGGCCTCAGAGCTGCAGAAGGGTCTGGCTCAGGGGTGTAGCAGCCCCGGGGACAGCCTCAGGGAGAGCCCAAAGGCCTGTCTCAGGGGAGAGTGTTGGTTTTTCCTGTTCTGTGGTTTTTGTTTGTTTTTCTTAGGGGCCTTGGCCAGGAGGCAGGGCCTCCAAGCACTGAGATAGTGTGTGACCCACACATTACCCAACAGACTTTAGGGACACATGGGTGGCTGGGACATCGTCATCTGGACACAGCCTCACTCAGGGCAATGCCGCGGGGATATACAACCGCAGTCCACGGGGCTTCAACTGGACAGCAGCTTGGCCCTGGCCAGCCTCACTCTACTGACAGACCCAGCCTCTCACTGGACAACTTTGCCTGCACACAGTGGCATCTGGTCTGAGCTTCGCTGTGGACGGTGACGCCAAGGACACTTAACCCTTCAGTTAGCCTCCCACAGGCTCTTCAGAAAGTGTCACCCTACGTTCAGGCTGCACAGCCGAACTTCCCAGTGTCACCTGGGCGCAGTTTTGCTAGCTGTCCTTGTCACCAGGACCCACTCACCTAGCACAGCCTGCAGCAGAGCCCGGAGCCAGTAGCTTCTCACCTCCTGGCCGCAGGGAAATGTCCGCTGAAGTCACCATTTAACCCATACAGTGGCCTGGGGTCAGTCAGCCAGCTTGTTTTTTAAAATAAAATGTGTAGTCTTAGACTTCAGCAGGTGGTGTTTCTACGACCTGCTAGTTTTTCTCCTTGGAAATGGGGGCACCTTCTCCTTCTCAGGGGAATCTGAGGAGGTCTGGGTGTTCTGGGTGGGGGTCTGGGACTGGCTGTGATGGGGTAAGGGAGGGCCGCTCAGGGGTCTCCCCGTTGTAAGGCACACGGAGGCCTCAGTGGGGTTAGGGCAGGGGGAGAGGCAGTGCGTTCCCACCCCACCCCCACAAGATACCTGAGGGCAAGGTCATTCTGTGCATCGTTTATTGCGGGAAGGTGTCGACTCTGGCTCCTAGGGGCTCTGCCAGAGCCACAAGCTGAGCCCCAGGCCCAGCAGAGCCCCGTGCACACTGGCTAGGGGTGGGGTGGGGGCCGAGGCTGCCTTGCTGATGGAGGTGCTGGGAGAGGCCAACACCCTGCGCCCCTGGAGAGGCTGCTGTGGGCGGAAATTCTCCGTGAGCGGTGCAGGGTTTGAGCCAGGGAGCCCGGCCTGGGGCACAGTCTGAAACTGGGCCACCTGAGGGTTCGGGGCAGAGACAGGTCAAGACGTGGGCTGCCCTCAGCTGCAGGAGGGAGGGAGGGAGGGGGAGGGCCGCATCGCCCAGGGAAGGGGTGGTGGGCCCACCTGCGCGCGCCAGATGGGTACCCTGTCCTCTAAGACCATCCAGACATCCGCAGGCTGGCAGCCGGGCGTGGTCAGCGACCCTGAGTAGCGGTGGTAGCGGGAGAGGCCGGAGGCATCCTGTAGCAGCGAGGCCCTCGGGAAGGTGGATGCCAGATTCACCAAGACCCCTGGGCGGGGAAGGGGAGGCGGGACTGGAACGGGCGTCCCTGTGCCCAGCCGGCCCCAGCCTCCAGCACCCCCAGCCCCGGCTGCGACCCCGTGGCTCCTCACCGCACTGGGACACGTTCTTCTGGGCTGACACAAGGGCAGAGAAGTTGGCCTTGTCAGTGTCTTGCTCTTGGGGAGGAGACTCCAAGTGAGAGGGGCTCTGAGTGGACGGGTCTCCAAAGGGGGAACTCTGAGGGGATCTAGGGGAGACTGTAAGAGGCAAGAGGGTAGGCTCCCAGTAGGGGTCAGCTGGGACATCTGCTGGGGGGAAGGTCACCCCCACTGACCCCGCAGCTCCAGGACCTCTGGCTGGCCCCCATCCTCCCACAGAACGCTTTAAATCCTACAAACCCGGGTGCCTGGGTGGCTCAGTTGGTTAAGCGACTGCCTTCGGCTCAGGTCATGATCCTGGAGTCCCTGGATCGAGTCCCGCATCGGGCTCCCTGC